TTTATTGAATGCCAATTATGAATTTTTCTTGTTGGCTGCTGGATATATTTGAATTGCTATAAATATTATTGGCTATGTCTGAGATGCAGTTAAATTACTAGGAAACAGTTTGATTCTTTTTCTTCTTTTTAAGATTTCATAGGTGAGAGCAGACCAGTCTTCAGTCTAGAGGTCATTATTTCCTACTACTTAGGCAATGTGCTTCTGAGTATTTTACCTAATGTTTTGAAAATTATGAGGATTTCCAGTCTGTGTGGTGGGAGGAGGTACTATTCTTGGCCTTGTACAAACTCTAGGTATTGTTCTTTCTAATCTTTCTAATCCTTATGTAGTTTTCACAGACACACACACACACACACACACACACACTGATGAATGCTCTGCCAAATACTTAAAGGGAACTATCTGTTCTTTGGAATTCTCTCTCTCTGTGCAGCTCTGTCCTCTCCAGTACTCTATGAACTTTAGCTGCCTTGCCCAACCCTCAGCTCAGCCTCTTTATCCAGGGAATCAACCAGGTTCTGCCTGGATTTTTTCTTCTTTGCCCTATAGCCTGGAAACACTCAATGAAGTACGTTAGGGCAATTATAAGGTTTATTTCATTTGTTTCCCATTTCTTGGGGATTAGTGTCCTTGGCTTCTTGATATCCAATCTCTTGAAAAATCACCATCTCGTTTATCTTGCCCACTTTTTTTGTGGTGTTGTTGGTTGTATATGGTAGGAAGCAAATGTGGTGCCTGTTATTCCATCTTAGCCAAAAGTGGAAGCTTCTGATAGCCCTTTAAATTTTCAGTTTATTATGATTTCTTTTCTTAGTCTAAATAAATGTTCACTTTTCTACTTAATTTTTATTTGTAATTTTGTATCTTTTTCTTAAAGAGGGTCTCCATTGTTGCCTAATCTCTAGTCCCATACTCAGGCTCTTGAGCTGAACCACATGGGTTAGAATTCTGCCTCCACCTCCTATTATCATTGTGACCTTGAGCAGAAATGGTATTATAAATTATGGGATTACCTATACAGAGTGTGAGGGCTTAGGATGACAGATACCTCCCTACATAACTGATGAGAACAAAGAAAGAATAGACCACAAAAGAAAGAGCATGGCCAGAAAAATGGGATAACCAAAAGAATATAATGTCCTGGAAAACAAAGTAGTTAACCTCCCAAAGAAGGGGAGAGATTAATATATTCTATGCCACTAAAGATCAAAATGAGGACTTAAGAATTGCCCCTGGATTTGGCAAGATAGCAGTCATGTTTGATGTTGTCAAATAGGGATATGAATAGGCTTTACCATACATTAACAATGAGTGTTAAATAAGAATTTCATGCTAATTCCTTAGCACATAGTAGGCCTTCAAAAAATATAAGATATTATTGTTACTATTATTATCAAAATTATGTTCACCTTTTGCATCACTAGATCCAACCCATGCCTCACCCTCGTATATAAATGTTAGGGCAGATTCAGAGTCTCTCTCTGGTATTGTCTCTGTTTCCCTTGGCTCATCATCACTCATACCCCAAGGCATGACACTAGGGGTCTTTCTGTCACACACACATCACATCACATCACATCACATCACAGGCAATTGATACTACAAGCTACCATGCTTTTTTCCAAGGGCAGACATTTCTCCCAATATCCCTCCCTATCTTATTAAAATTGTGTAGACTTCACCAATTATTAGCACTTCCCGTGGATTCAAGGGGAAAGGCCAATTCTGGGACAACCCTGGGTCTTATGCCCATATGCTTAGAGGTTAGGAAAGATGCTTGGGCGCAGCTTTCCACCACAATTCCTTCTAAGTAAGAAGGGGAATGGACTCTTAGCAGACAAAGACTATGGCCAGTGTTCCCTACATCCAGCCAATTTCAGGGGTCCAGGACATAACCAACCAAACCAAAAAGATACATGGTTGTAGCAGATCAAACACCTTGAATTCTATTTCTAAATTCCCTTTTTAATTTAGGGAGGCACGGAATCCATTTGTAAGCCTGTATGGATTCCAACTGAAAAACTGATCCTAAGGTTCTGATTCATTGCTGTATGAATTGTATTAATGCTATTTGCAGAAGTCTGTGTGAAGTCCCAAATTATACCTTTCGAGATGAGAAGTATAATTTGTACCAAGAATCAACTGATTTAAACCCCAAACACACCTGTGTTCAAGCTGAAAATCTGCTATCTGGGCTTCTCTGAACCTTGTACCATGAGTCTTTCTAGATGACTAAGTCTTCTAATACTTGCAAGTTTAATCATTTAAACAGAAGACTTTGGAATTTTAATGCTGTGTGAGACAAAAATGTTCCTGAACAAATATATTCCAGTTTCCTAAACAAGGCGAAATGAACATAGTTTTATCTTTTCTTAGAGACTCCAGGTTACTCACAAAAATATCATAAATGGCCCAATCTAGAATAGATTTAAGACTCCAAGGATAATTCAACCCTACACTAAATGGGCCCAGATGGTTGGTTTTAAGTTCTTGGCACTATTATAGTTTTTCTGTCTCCCTTCTTGTTGGCATCTGTCATTTCCTGCTGTTATCAGTTACTACGTGTGGTAGTAGCTTCTTCCACATTTAATTATTTGTTGCTTTTTATATCTGAGAGTTTAGACAATGGATGAGAATTATGTATAAAATTAGTGTAAATGGATTCTGAATGGGGCCCTGAGAGATTTCACAAGTAAACAATCTAAAGTTGCTCAAATGCTGTTTTTGAAAATAGGTAGGGTATAAACAAAACTATGGAACATTGTGTAACATCAGTGCTGGCTTCTCAGTTGTTTTGTTGGTTTATTTCGTTTTCCTTACTTCGTGATTCTTGGCCCTGTCCTGTACTGGTAAGGATGATGAATGGTAGGTTTCCCATGACAGAGACTAGGCTTCTGGTGTGCTTCCTTCTCTCTATATCATCATGGGCATCTGCCTGGTTGAACATATAGCCAGAATGACTAAAAGCATGAGCTCTTGTCCTGGGCCTTATTGGAAGAAGTTTGTTCCATAGGTTTGGATTTGAGTGGGCTGAATCCCGTGAGGGGAAGTCAGGCTGTCAGCCACCATGTTCCCATCCTGCAGAATTTGCTCCCAAGCACAGCTTTGTCTCTGGAGCCTCTTCCTGCAGCACACCATCCGGCCCCAGAATTTCTCTGTACCAGGAAAAAACCCCACCCAACATTTTAGTATAATCCTGGGGAGCGTTTTCAATGCATGAGTGAGCTTCCAACCATTTAATTCCTTAAACAGCAGAAACTTCAGCTGTTCCCAGGAGTCTGTGCATTGGCTCAGAAAAAGCCCTGCTGCTTCCCTTCCCTAAAAATCCACTGGCAAAGGATGGCTGTGGCATCCATTATCTGTTAGCACAATGGCTGTAGGGGGGTCCCCTAGAGAGGCAGGGGTTCTGGTCCTGGAGCCTGCATCTCATGGTCCCACCCCTCTGCTCCCCAGACAGCCTGGCCTGTGAGCTTCTTTCCAGCCTCTTCCCTCTGGGCAGCTCCTGGCTTACTTGACCTATTTTCTATAAGCTCAAGACAGAGAGCATAGGAAAGTGCTGAATCACTCTAGGGTCTGCAATGTGTCCAGTTATAAAGCCCAATGTCAAAGTGAAATACCAACCTTTTAGTGGCCCCATATCTCACAGAGTTAGTGGTCAATTCTAATTAAAGATCAGCATCTGTTTCTTTATTTTCTTTCCCTGGAGTAAAAGGAAAAAAGTTCTTTTCTTTTAGGAGATTCTAGATTATTTATTTCTAAACATCATTAGAGGCTATATGTTTTCTCAATGATGGGAAAAGTAAAGATTTCATCTATTCACCCAATCAGGATAGAATTGTTTCTCTTTTTATTGTTAGGAAGTTTTCTTCCCTCCCCAGTTTGGTTTCTGACAGGACCCACCAACTGAAGGTGGGTTCTGTCAAAGGCCTATTTGGGGTTCATACAATAGAATTAAATAATGAAGACACTTTTATTTACGTCTTTGTTTTGCAGAAGGGCTGGATGAAAACCTAGCTCTCTCAGTCCTGGGTAGAATTTCTCAGTGAATGGTTGGGGAGTTTTGTTTCCCACACAGCTCAGCTCTGTGCATAACCAGGGTCTGAACAGGAGTTCAAGTGGCTCCTCGGGGGCCCTGAAGCAATTAAAGTTGGGCCTTGTTCTTCTTTGTCATGAGGCTGTTGGATTTTGTGGTCTTTTTAGAAGCCTTGGCAACTGCTGGCCCCATTTTCCAGAGGGCATCCTCCCTCAGATGTTCCTGGAGGCCACTGCCCCCTGAGAATGCTGCAGATGAGGCCCGGGGCCCACAGAGTCGGAGGCGGGGGGCTCAGTTTCATGGAACCAGGCCAAGCCTTCCTAGTGCAGCTCGGTGCCTCTAACTTCCTTACTCCCATCCCCTCGGATCAGTTTCTCCCTTTCCTGGAGCTGAGCCAGGCTTCTGGAAGCTGTCTCCCCCTCTCAACAGGGCCCTCTAATTAACATTTCTTCTCTCTTCTTTTACTCTGCTCCAATTCCATCTGCAGCTGCCTAATGACAGCATTAACAACTGCAGATCTGATCCCACTCCTGATACAGCCTAGCCAAGGGAGGACTTTGAGCCAAGAGAAGACAGGCTTGTGGTCATGAGAAACGGAAGGAGCCTCCCTAGGATGAAAAGAGGCCACACAGTGATCAGCACGGGAAAAGTGCTCTTAAACAGTTGCTCTTCGGAGACTAGTTGTGTCATCTTAAAGTGACTCCCCACATATCACTTACTAGTGTCAAGGGAGGGGAAAAAAAAAACCAGCAAGCAGACACTGGAGAAATTATACAACACCTTGACTGAGTGGTCCAAATTATCACTGCGTGGGACAGATGACATCATGTGGCTCCAGATGTGGAGGATAGGACACACCTCATCTGGGCAGCATTCTGGCTGTGATTATATAACCAATGTAACCATGAGGAAACACCAAACACAGAATGAGGAACGTGCTATAAAACAAAATGGCCCGCGGTACTCACTTTGGCAGCAGATAGACGAACGTTGGAACGATACTGGGATGATTAGCATTGCCCCTGCACAAAGATGATACACAAATTTGTGAAGAAAAAAGTGGTGTGGGAGCAACAGGAGATGGACCTCATAAAAGCCAGATTAAAGGAGGCTAAAAAAGACATGACAGCCAAATGTGGGACCTGACCCTAGAGCAGAGCCCATACCAGAGGCGAGGTCCTATAAAGGACACTGACAGGTCAACCAACAACACTGATTTGTGGAGCATAGACCAGATAAAAGCACTTTGTCAGGCTGTATGGTTACGTAATAGGATGCTCCTAGTCCTAGAAGACACACACTAAAGTATTTAGGAGTGACGGGCCATGAAGTATGGAACTTACTTCTACATTGTTCTGAAAAAAATTACATTTTACATATAAACATATACATATGTACAGCTAGAGAGATAAATACAGATGTATATTCTATATATATGACATTTTTCTCTGAACTGTTTTATATAATGTACATATACAGGGAGTGGGGGAGAAACGTGCAAACGATAAAGCGAGTGGAGGAAAATGATGGCAATATAGGGGCTCCTGTACTATTTTTATCTTTGCAGCTTTTTTGTAAGTTTGAAATTGTTCCCAAATAAAAAGTTGAAAAATGTAGCTGCAGTTTTTCGATTCTCCTCTGTTCACTGAACACTGAACTTGGGCGGAGGACATAAGGCCACATCTCTGTGAAGCCTCTCGGGCGCATCAGCCCTCGTGAGCCGCCGCCCGATTTGAGCTTACCTATAACTCTGAAGCCAGTGCTCTACGATGGCAAGCACTCTGGCCCTGCACGGGGGAAAGGCATCAGGATGCACTAAGGAAGACACAACCCCATCCCAAGTCCGGTCTGGAAAAAAACAAATCTGCTGTCATTTCTGACTGATCAACAAACGCATATTGATTTTAAATTCCATCGTTTGAGCAAAAAAGTAGAGATGCGGCATAGAAATTTGAGTGTGGGGGCGCCGGGGTGGCTCAGTTGGTTAGGCGACTGCCTTCGGCTCAGGTCGTGATCCTGGAGTCCCGGGATCGAGTCCCGCATCGGGCTCCCTGCTCGGTGGGAAGCCTGCTTCTCCCGCTCCCACTCCCCCCCTCTTGTGTTCCCTCTCTTGCTGTCTCTCTCTCTCTGTCAAAATAAATAAAATTTTTTTTTTAAAAAAAAGAAAGGCCCCAAATTTGTTGTCAGTCAACTGGTCAAAAACAAAGATATCAAAGAGAGATCGACTATACAAGATCATGTGCTTTTTTTTTTTAAGATTTATTTACTCATTTGTCAGAGAAAGAGAGTGAAAGAGAGAGGAAGGCAGAGGGGGATGCAGGCTCCCTACTGAGCAAGGAGCCCGATGTGGGACTCGATCCCAGGACCCCTGGGATCATGACCTGAGCCAAAGGCAGACGCTTAACCGACTGAGCCACCCAGGCATCCCTCATGTGCCTTTTTAAAAAAATTTTTTATTTTGAAATAATTACAGATTTTCAGGAAGTTGTAAAGATAGTACAGAGACAACCCTATATCCTTCACCCAGTTTCCCCAATACTTATATCTTATAAAACCATAGTATGACATTAAAACTAAGAAACTAACATTGGTAAAAAAAAACGGGTGAGGTTCTGCCATTTTATCACGTGTGAATTTGTGTAACCACTACTGCAATCAAATACATAACCATCTCATCCCACAAAAATCTCCCTGTTGCTAACCTTTATAGTTCAGTTTGCTTGTAAGGAAGGTAACAATAAATAGAAGGAGAGTAAATTAAAAGCCCGGAGTCTGGGAGCACATTCAGGGAGGTGTGTGTTGAGACAGTAAATGGAAGGAGAAGGCTATCCATGAACTGTCACTAAAGCCAGACTCTCCGGTGTGTTAGGGATTCTTGGTTGGGGACCTCCCACCATTGCTCATGACTCCCCGAGAGACAAACTCTTAAGTAGAAAGAGATTAAAATTGTTCCTGCTACACCACCCCCAGACGGTGCACACAACCTTCATCCCCTGCCCTGCATCTCCCCAGCCTGGCCCATTCACTCGTTCTCTGGCTTCTCATTCACTAAGAGTTGCACCCAATCCCCAAATCCCTCAGTCAGACCCTGGCCTACCTAATCTAACAAGTACCACCCCCTATCCCAGGTAACCATAACCCACATATACTTCTAAATGGAGGTATTCCCAGAACTCTGTCTTCTACCCTCTCTTATTGTGTCTTATCCTCATGGCCCCATGGAAATCATCCCAGCTTGCGAGTCTAGCTCCAGACAACTTGCTATGAGGTAGCTCCACATGCATGGCACTAGCACCAAGAACTCAACTCCATTATTCTAATGAAACGTTTCCTCCACTGTGCTCCCTCTTGTGGTAACTAGAATCATTACCCTCTCAGTCACCTAGTCTAGAAGCCTCAGTAACATTTAATTCTCTCATATCCCTCACTTTCAGCATCCAATAGACTTGGCTTTTTTTTTTTTAATTTTTTATTGTTATCCAGTTAATCCCCATACATTACATCATTAGTTTTAGATGTAGTGTTCCATGATTCATTGTTTGTGCATAACACCCAGTGCTCCATGCAGAACGTGCCCTCTTTAATACCCTTCACCAGGCTAACCCATCCTCCCAACCCCCTCCCCTCTAGAACCTTCAGTTTGTTTTTCAGAGTCCATCGTCTCTCATGGTTCGTCTCCCCCTCTGATTTCTCCCCCTTCATTCTTCCCCTCCTGCTACCTTCTTCTTTTTTTTTTTTTTAAACATATATTGTATTTTTTGTTTCAGAGGTACAGGTCTGTGATTCAACACAGACTGGGCTTTTGAGCACCTTTTTGTGGCTCCCTAGTTTTTCCTGCATTTCCCTCGGATCCTGATTATTTCTCACGTGCACCACTAAAATAATTTCCTTCTCCTTCACAGTGCTGTGGTGCTCTTTCCCTCAAAACTCAGCATGGAGAACATCACTCCCCTGCTCAAACTCCTGGGATGGCTCATTGCTTCTAAAGGTGAACTCCTTTTGGCATCTGAAGGCCTCCATTCCCTAGATACTGTGTGTGCTGTAGAGCCAACCTGCCTTTGCTTCAGCTGTCCTTCACTGTCCCTTTTACCTGTTTAATGAAATATGCATCCTTCAAGGCCACTTTTAAAGCCATCTTCTTCGTTGAGCTTCTTTGGCCTCCCAGATGGAATTAATTCTCCTTGGCATTCCTATGGCACTTCATTCTAACAATTACTTAAGTCTGCCTAGAAATATGGTTTATGAACATTCCTAACGTTGCAATCACCTCCGTCATTTTTGATAAAGCAAAATATTGAAGACAGATAACGGGTTTTAAAATTAAACTAGGGTTTGAATTCCAGCTTTGTTGACTGTGTGACATTGCACCAGTTAGCCTCTGTGAGCCTAATGTCTTCATAAGTAAAATGGGGAAATAGTATATAATAAGGTTGCTATAGGAATTAAACAAATAATGTGGATGAAATGTCAAGCACAGTGTCTTCTTACTTAGAGTAGGCACTCCAAAATATTAGCTCCTTTCTCCACTTTGTATCATACCTAATATCTAAGGCAAAGCCTTAGGAAGAGCAGGCTGTTTATAAATGTTTCTTGGATAAAATTGATAATCTAATGGGAGAAAATTGTATTAAAAGAGTCTAAGGAATTATAGCTAAAGCCACAAAGTAGCTGAAAACTGAGAAGTTATTGGAAGAAAACATTTTTATTTTAATTTTTTTTAAAGATTTTATTTATTTATTTGACAGAGAGAGACAGCGAGAGAGGGAACACAAGCAGGGGGAGTGAGAGAGGGAGAAGCAGGCTTCCCGCGGAGCAGGGAGCCCGATGTGGGGCTCGATCCCAGGACCCTGGGATCATGACGTAAGCCAAAGGCAGACGCTTAACGACTGAGCCACCCAGGTGCCCCAGAAAACATTTTTAAAGAGAGAAAAAAGGGAAGGATGAGCTTTAGGAAGTAGACTGGTAAACAGGGATTCCTGGGGCTGGGGGCCAAGAGGAAGACAGTGTGTGTGTGTGACTTCCTAATGAATACCAGTAGTAATAATACAATCAACTTCACCTTTGAGGTATCTATTCAAATTGTGCCCATATTCTCTCATCTCTCTATCTTATCAGATATGCTGAGCAGTGGACATTCCACTCAATTCTCCGTATTCATCCATTTCAGATTATTTGCAATAAGAACAAGTACTTTCACAAATATTTTTCTCAATCACAAGGATAATTAGTTGACAGGGTTAGCCTTCCTCATCTACCAGTTCAGGGTCTTAATCTAACGTGCTCTCTCTATTGTACCTTCTAGGTAGGGTTGGTAAAATGAATTGTGGGATAGCTGAGGTATGGGAATTGCACTTCAATATTAGGGTAAGTTATATATTAAAAAAAAAAAACCTCCTAACCTACCAAACTAAATATCAGTGAGCTTACAAAACAGGTATGAGAAATGCCTAATGACATGTATATGATAGGAGACCCGCTGGCTAGCTACCATGCAGTCTGGGATTTGTCTTGTTTTATTTTCCTCTATAAAACTGAATTGATATCCAGAAGTACCAAATAGGAGAAAAGACATAGAAGAACCAAGAGTATAATTTCCCCAACAGATTTGAAAGAACCTACTGTTTATATCATCTTTTAGAGAAATAAAATTATATGTGACAAATTTTATCGGCAGCAGAGTTAATATATGGCAATATCACAGATGAGAACCATAGGTTCTTATTTTATAAATAATTAATAGTGGAAAATTGCAGAGAAAGTAATTTTTTGAAGCAACTCTTCTTTTAAATAAACAAGAACACTTAGGAGAAATTGCTTACCTATAATGTACATTCCAGGCAAGCAACCAATCTCTGTAGATCTGGGTCTCCAAGGTGATGGAATTATCTCTATATAATCATTCATCATGGATATTCCCTTTGGAAAAACAAAGTGAAGGGCATTGATCTGAAGAAATGTAAAAATCACTGAAAAAAATGTAACCTTAAAAAACGCCAAATGTCATATAAGGAAAGAAAACCCTGGAGATAAAGTTACATAATTATGATTCTTTTAAAGCATCCAGATG